TTGACGCATCGCAATACGGCAACAGTGCACGCTTCATCCGACGTTCATGTATTCCCAATTGTCGAGTAAGTACCATGTACCTCCGACTTATTCATGCTCATACGATGTATACGGTTTGGGTATTTTGGTTGTCTCTAGTTAGTTCTGTGCTCAAAGTTGACCCCACTGTGCACCCTAAATGTTCGCTCTCAGAGGTAGAGGGACCCACGACTACTTCCGTAATTTTTGCCTTTCGTCTTTCCTCCGGCTGAGAACCTTTTGGGTGATCTAATCCATAGAATGAGGTATTGACCGCCCTCCACTTCGGTCTCGGTCCCACCGTACCTTCATTCATCTCTTTTCCTTCACCCATTTGCCCACCATGATCGTACGCTTTATCCCCAAGTGACAACCGGAAACATCCGCCTCGCATTTCGTTCGCTAGATACATCTTTGCCACTCGGTATCTCACCAACCGTGTGCAAATCTTGTGCACCCTAGCTTCCTCATATTATCTGTTTTCTTCAGTTTTTTTCATGTTTTATTACACAGTTATTGGAAAGCCGTTCAGGTCTTTCCCCATCCCTAGGCGAAGAACATCCGGTGATCCCAGAAACTGCCGCCTCACCTCCCCAACCTCCAGATTTGGAGCAGATCACGTACCAGCAACGCTAGATTTAGTGCTGGCGAACGGGGGCTGACGATGGATTCTGTCAATGTCTCGTTTCCAATGAGACGTGATCATGCCGTATCAAATTTCAATGATATGGTCTACGGTTCTAGCCAACAAAACAGAGAGACCAGTACTTGTGCCATCATACAAAAAGTTGCAAAACCTGACAACACTTAGGCCATGGGTCATCCCGTAAGACGTTCACGACCATGGAAAAGCTTCACCGAATACCTTACCGAAATGATAATTGCTGCGACTTATGCTAGACCTAAAACACGACAATCACCCTTTCGCGGCAAAGGGACTTTCTGGTGGGAGTACGGATGTCCATCAATCGAAACATGGAATAATTGTACTTTACTATTAAATCAGTTTACCAAGTTGGTTGTAAATCGACCTTCGAAGCGGAACTATCTGATCATCTTTCAGCTCAGACTTCACCCCAAGGACTCAGTGGACACTGAATGGCAATCAATGAAGCGATCCAAATATCAATTGAACCAGCGGCCGATTCTGGTGGACAATCAAAACAAAAACGATGGATCTCTTTGACCCCGGTTGTCCTTCGAAACGCTCACAAAGCCATTACGTCGGATGCGAAATACGACAAAGGGCGCAAATCCCTTAGACACCAGCTCATCAAGAGTCTGAGGAGAGACCGCGAGAACTGGTGGATAAAAAAGTGTAGAATCGCAATCTTTTTCGTTTAATTAGAAACACGGGTTTGAAGACAGCATGCCTAAGTGTGGTAATTAAGCAGTCTGACGGCACACTGATTCAGCAGCAGCAGCGCCGTCTTGAACGTTGAGCAGAGCATTTCAAAACACGGTTCACCCGACCCCCAACATCCCCATATCCGCTTCCACTGGACTAATGCTGCCAGTTGATATCAGTCTTCCATCTGCATTGGAGGTTACCCGGGGAGTAAATTATCCCAAAAAGTATAGGGCTACTGGCCCCGACGGGCTGTCCCTATCGGTTTTTAAGGATGGAAGTTCAGTCCTCGTTTTGGAGTTCACGAAACCCCTGGGCTCTGTGTGGGGACGGGAGAGGTTCCAACTAAATGATGTGAATTGGTTATCATACCGATTTGCCAAGGAGGAATTAGTTTATTTGACATTGCCTCTAAACTTCTCGCGGTTATCATACTCTGTCGGCTGTCTGCCGCACGTGAACAATGCACGCGTGAGAACCAAGCTAGATTTAGACCTGTTCGAGGTTGTATCGACCACACTTTCAATCTTCGTCAAATTCTAGAACATAGACACTCCTTTCGTAGACCCACCATTTCTATGTTCCCCGATCCGAAAGCGGCTTTCGACTCCGTCGACCGCTCAAAACTCTTGCTACGTTTCGCTCTAAATGGGGTACCCGAGAACTTTATTTCAATATTGCAATCCTTTTATACTAATAGCCAAAGTCGAGTCCTAGCTTACGGCACTTTTTCACTTGAGTTCACTACAAAAAGTGGTGTTCGTCAAATTGTCATCATCATCATCGCGCAGCGAAATACCGTGAGGCGAACTTCACTGATCATTGTCACACTCGTAGTGCATACAAGGTCGGTGATAAAATTTGAGGTGGAGAGGAATTGTACCTACTTTGAGGGAGGGAGAATAAAGTGAATCACTATGGTCAACACAGAGTGCAAAATCGAACTCTGAATACATACCGTTTCAAGCATTTTGACCTGATAAGAAACGACAACAAGAGCTCCACTACTGTCGGTTCGCTGCCATATCCTCCAATGTCTCCAACCAACCAGTTGTGGAGTCTTTTGGAACCCAACCTGGAAGGCCAGATACACCTACTTTACCTATTGGCTCTGTGCAATTCTTTATTCCCAGTCTCCACGTCATCTGTTGACCTCCACGTGGTTTCCTCCAGTCTGGATTACCCACAGAGAATAAAGCGCGGTGGGGCAGACGATGACGACATTCGCAATACGTACCCCATCTAGCGTAGTCTACCAATCTGAATTCGGTGTGCCAACAGGTTTATACCTGACAGACTCCCAAACACACGGCGGCTTACCTCCACGTTACTAAGCCGTTCGCTCCATCCAACGTGGGTTAAACTGAGTAAACACCGATAATCGAAAACTTCTAGTCGACGGATATCTTCTACTAGCAAATTCAAGGTCTCACAACCATAAAACAGAACTGAACGAACGCTAGCACAATATACACGACCTTTCAACTTCAGTGAAACGTCGCGTCTACGCCAAAGGTGTTTCAGTCTTGCGTATGCTGCTCGAGCCTTGGAAATGCGAGTGGTTATCTCCTTTGCTGTATTACCGTCATTGGTCACGCAACTACCCAAGTAGGAAAAGTAATCCACCGTAACTAAATCCTAGCCATTTAGTGTCAGAGCGGGAGTAGGCAAAACGCAGTCCTGGAGTATCACTTTGCATTTTGAAGGTGCAAAGCACATACCGAATGTGGTGACCGCACTTTTTAGTCTATCAGTTGTGCTTTGCGCGTCCTCCATACATCCGAACACAGACGATGTCATCGGCCTATTCCAAATCGCACATCTTTCCCCAGTTGCCCATTCAATTACTACGTTTTGAAGACCACTAAGTGCGTCTACGACGAAACTGAACATGAACGGCGAAAGAGGGACACCCTTGACGAACGCCGCTGCTGGTGACGAACAGCCTACTTAGTTCGTTGTAGACCCTTACACAACCAGAGGTATGTGAGTACAGTGACCTCAGTAGGTCAACGTACTTCACGCTACATCTGCCACTTGCCCATCCATTTCGGAAACTAGCGTGGCTAACCCTCGCACGTGCCTCTCAAAATCTGTCGTGGATCTCGAGGTAAATGGAGTCTCTTGTCGTGCTCTGATCGACACCGGGAGCTCAGCAAGCTGTTCCTGAGAGCTTAGTACTCACCAATAAGTGGAAGATACTCTCATCCATAGAAACCATCACAACGACCTTAAGTTCCCTATTAAGCAGTACAAGGGGCACTGCTCTATCTCCATCAAATACAAAAACCATGTTTACGAACGTTTTAAACTACCTTTACTGAGTGATCTGTGTTCAGATGATCTCCTCGGCCTTCACAAAACCATTTATATATCACTTGGCGGAGAGATTCCGTCTACGGTCTGCTCACTCGGGCCTGCTTCCATAGTGTCCCCGCTACTTTTTCAGAATCTGTCTATACATTGTAAGCCTGTCACCACAAAATCCCGACGGTACAGCAGGAAAGATCAGACATTCATACGCGAGGAAATAAATCGACTCATCATCATCATCGTACAGCGAAGCGAACTGCACTGATCGCTGCCAAACTCGTAATGCATGTGCATGTGAGTTTGATGGACAGGTACTGCTAGGGTGTCCAGCCACTAAGCAGGAGAACGATTAGGGTTCTCACGAAAGCCTTTAGTTCTGATAAGAACCTAACCGCAAGGCAGCGGATGAAGCGAAGTGGAGGCCTATTTACTTGGATCAATTACTCCTCTACCAATTTTTTACGGACTGAAACGCCATTTCTAGTCGAACCGCCAACCTGGAGGACCAGGAGCCTGAACTTCGTCCGACCTTTACCCCTCGACCTTCTAGGCATGAGTAGATCTTAGGTTTCAGTTCAGTTCAGTTCAGTTTTACAACCATTAACCATGCACTTTCGTGCTCTGGCTTTGTTTGCTGTCTTTTGGTTGCCTTTTTGGATAAAAGAGCGAAATGAAGATTGGAATGTCGAAGCAAATTGAAGCGGAAGACGGGGAATAAATATAGAGTATGTTAGGAAAATAACGAGTTGTTGCACGAGCGCCACTGTTTGCGACACCCAGCCATATCATTCATTGTAGCTAACCATCGGTGACCATCATCCCGAGGTCCCCAGCCAGGGAGCCTAACGGGGCCTATGTCACCTAGTCTCCTGGTTAGGGTTTTCATNTACCCTCATGCAAGGTCTTAAGTTGACCGCCCTTTGTTTTTTTCCAATCGCTACCAGCCTTGGCATCGTTTGCCGTGGCAACCTATCTGGTGACATGCCTAGCACATGTCCCAACCAGCGTAATCTATGCAGGTCGATCACTTGCGTTAATGGACGACCGCGACTGCCTAAAACTCTCCGCCTAACCTCAGCATTGCTAGTCCGGTTATTCCACCAGACAAGTGCAATGCTACGCAGACAGCCGTGTTCACACGCCGACAGTCTGTCTTTATCCTGTTTTCTTATTGGCCAAGTTTCTGCACCGTATAGCAGGATTGGCCGAACTGTCGCGGCATACACTCGATCCTTCGCAGACAGCCGGGTGTCGCGACGGCGCCACAGATGTCTCAAGTTGGCAAACACCAACCAAGCCTTCTGTATGCGAGCTGACACTTCATCCGTGATGCGTCCACCTGGTGAGATGTAGCTGTTCAGATAACAAAACTTATCCACCTGCTCTATTAATTCCTCAGTTAGAGTGAGGCTGGGTGCTGAACCAACCCAGTCTTGTAGTAACATTTTACACTTTG